ATAGGGTAGGTTAGGTTAAGTTATCGGGTTTTGTTCAAGTGACCACCCTCTTTCGATCCCCCACCTCCACCCGCTTGAAAATATTCTTTTTATTGAATTTTATTTGAATTAGTGTATGAAAATTGTCAAAATTATCAAATTTCAACCCCGATAACTTTTTATGAGGGTGTGACCGCCGCAAATTTTTTATGGGATTTTACTCAGGTGACCATCCTCTTTCGATTGCCCCACCCCCATTTAACTTTTTATGGAGGGTAGACCGGCACGAACTTTTTATGGTACAGTGGTGGGGGAGACCTCCTCTTTCGATCCCACAAAGGGGGTGGGGGCCATCATATAGACATTTACCTATAATTTCTTGTCAAGTACTTAAAAACTGTAAATATATCTTCTACTTAAAATAATATCTCGCATTATGTATTAACACACTGATGACAGGCATCAATTCTGTTAAGCATTTCGTACAAATGGCAATTGAGACAAAACACCATAAATGTTCATATAAAAGAACGGCTTTCCAGAAATATAAGAAGGTCCAATTATACTCTTGAATTGACAAGATCAGCCATAATCTTAAAGATTCGACTGTTTAAGAACTTATAATATACATTATATTATATTATTCAAAGTAAAATAAATAAATAAAGGTTCTGGGAGTTCTTTTCTACTTGGATCTTAACTATAATTGGTGCAGTCATCATCAGGATTGCAACAGTACCTAATATCCAGTTAGTATTTGTTGGCGGCAAAATATGGGAGGAAATGGAAAAGATATTGACTCGAACCTCCCAAATGCAAACAATTATACCGTACATGTTTGAATTGAGGAAAACTTCTGCTTTACCATCAAAAATTTGAACTTTCGTCACATTTACTGTGAATATTTTCATGTTTCCTGATTTATTAAGGGATGAAAAGAAATTTTTTTACTACATATACGAATAAGCAAAGAAGAATTATATTCGTTGGTGGCAACAAAAAAAACGTATTAACTGAAGAACGCTGTTAAAATGGGATATTTTTAGTTTTCTTTTGGATTAATACGAATCCTAATTAATATTAAATACGAATTGGGTTTGTTTGTTTATTACTCATTCAGGCTTTAGCTATTCAACCGAACATTATAAAAATTTTGTACATACGTTGTCAGGGTAACAGAGAAGGACATAGGGTACCTTTTATTCAGAAAAAAAAACTATTCCCGTGGGATACAAAAAATTTTCTTTACATCTCGATAAAAAAGAACACTATTAACTGTAATTTACGCAAGGTGTATGTTTAACCTAGAAAATTAGAAACTTTAGTTTCATCCTCAAGATCCTGGCCAGGATTATTTTTCAAATTATTGTATTTTCGATGATCTTTGATACATATTTAGAACATAAACGCAAGCGAAGTCGAGGGTAAAAGCTTGTATATAATAAAACATGATAAAGGTCTAGATGATGACCCCCACCCCCGAAGGAGGTAGGTGGGATCGAAAGAGGAGATCTCCCCCACCACTGTACCATAAAAAGTTGGTGGCGGTCTCACCCCCATGAAAAGTTATGGGGGTTAGATGATGGGTAGGGGGGATCGAAAGAGGGTGGTCATCTGAGTAAAACCCCATAAAAAATTTGCGGCGGTCTCAGCCCCACGAAAAGTTATGGGGGGTTGAAAGTTGATTATTTTGGCAATTTTCATACACTATAATTCAAATAAAATTCAATAAAAAAATTATTTTCAAGCGGGTGGAGGTGGGGGATCGAAAGAGGGTGGTCACTTGAACAAAACCCGATAACCTAACCTAACCTAACCTACCCTATTGATAAAGATATTTAAATAATGTTTTATATAACTTTCTCAATATTTTTATGTATTTTCCATTAGTTTTACCTTTGAATATTGTTTAAGAATGACTATATAAATATTTACATGCCTAGAAATGTATAAAAATTGACATATTTATTAACTTTGAACTCCCATAACTTTTTATGGGGGTGAGACCGCCACGAACTTTTTATGGTACAGTGGTGGGGGTGACCTCCTCTTTCGATCCCACTCACCCCCACCCCTTCGGGTGTGGGGGCCATCATCTAGACCTTTACCTAAAACATTTGTGTTAGAGATGAATTTAAATACACTTTTAGTTTTTCTTTTATATACAATACTTTACATGTACACATGTATCAGCGTAAAATACGATAAAGGACAGAACATTATATGACCGGTTGCGAATCTAGCAGGCGCAAGAGTGTCTCTTCTTTCGAAAATCCCCAGTCTCATTGTTTTGGTTTTAGTACAATTCCAGATAAGCTGGCGTGCATGGGTCTGCTTTGCGTACATTTGCGTAAAAATAAGTAAATTTTACTAGTCTGACTGTATTAGAAGCTAATCTTTTTAATGCTGGCGGGATTTCTGTTCACCTATCATTAAGTCGGATTCAAGTAGTAGTTAAAACAATCAACCATTGAAACTGTTAATTGTTTATATTAATGGATTTTTAACAAACCCGTTGAAATGTTTATAAATATTATAACCGTTGGTGAAAGCATATCGAATGCGATTATCACAGGGAGTACGTACTACTCCGTCAAAACTTCGTAGGTTGACTAACGATATTAGGTACCAGTATTATCATTGATTGGAAGTGAAAACTGATACATATGTACATGAACAAACAATATGAATTGTAATCATGTTCGTATATGTACTAAGTGATTTATAAACGGATTCCAATATAATCATATGTAAAGTACAATAAGTAATAAACGGATTCGTAATTATAATTATAAGTACATACTTTGTTCAATTTTATGAATACCTACTACGTGAAAACTAAGTTTAGTTTTCGCATAAGTAACTGATGTAGTCAATTATATTTTTTTGTTAATTTAAATGTAAAAATTGAATCCAAATAAAATTGAAGATCAATGTAAACCACTTATTATTTAGAAATGGTAAATGTAAATGAAATTATTGCAAACGACAAATGTAATGTTTGATACTAAAACTATTTTTGAAAAATAGGACATGGTATAGGGAAATTCTTATAAACATTTACAGTTATCCTCTCATATCCTATTACTACTACTACTACCTACCCCAGTTTACCGGAATAGACGGAAACAATTCACACTTCTTCCTATCTGTGTCGACCTGTAGTAATGAAAATTTACATTTTGAAGGGCTTTGTACAAAAAATTTCGAGAGTTCTGTTGGTTTGGGAAAGTTATCAGAAAAAAAGGAGATATTTTCAGATAGACATGGTTGCATTTCCGCTAGTACAATATATTGTAATAAACCTTAAATTAATAATTTATAAAACTCCTGACATTGATTGTAATGAGTAATAATTAAAACCCCTCTTGATCAAGTTACCTTCCAATAAAAAAAAAGTTAAACCAAGTAGGTTCATGTTCAGGAGCTACGATGCCACAGCCATGTATGTACACAGATAAAGACGTTAAACTTTCACTTAAACAACCCTCTTTTCTGTCGGGTGTTAAAAACGGAAATGTTGGTAAAGAAATGTGTAATTTCTGTTTGGTGAATATTTCGCCTTACATATGCAAAAAATACATACGTACAGGTCTGACGAAGGAAGCTGGCGAGCGTCGCGCAGGTACTTGCCCATTTATGACCTATTTGGGTAAGTCATTTGGAACCGATACACAAATAAGCTTTCAGTAGAGGTAAATTATAGTATTAATACAGATAGGACAGTAGCGTACTAGAAAATAATGTAAAAACATGACTTATCAAAAAGAAAAAATAAACCTATTGCCTTTGTTTTATAGTTAGTTTTCACATTCACTGTCATCATGGCAATCTCTATCACTGTCAACAACATCAACAATTAGTTCTTCTGTTTGTATGTCTATTACTTGCTCACTGATCCCTATTTTTAAATATTTAATCTACGCCCCTGATAGGAATACTGAAGAATGAGGGCTGCAATTTTTATACCTAAAACTGCCTACTTTTGCCACCACGCATCCACGCCATTAAAATTTCCGTCAGCTTCCAGCGTCAGGCCTGTACCTATGTATAAAAAATTAGATAAAGTAAATAGTCCAGGCAATATGGGCGGGTGAGTGGTCAAAATTATTCGGATTAAACATTTTTACGCAATTTTGTTCGGAAGATTCTACTGAATACAACGATGTAGCTTGCCAGCCGGTAACCCGGTCAGGTATTGTTTAAATCACGATTGTTTAAACAAATGGCATGTTGTAATCCAATGTTTTAGTTTATTTAAGTATAAGTTCATTTCGTAGAATTCTTATTTGTGTGTATTTTTACTTAACTCATCGCCCAAGGGCTATTGTACACCTGCTATTACATTGGTATTACATGCATCATCAAATCATCGCCGTGGCGCATTTTGCTGTGCAAGGAACTAAGACATAAAAAACCGTTTTTTCATACAGTTTAAGTTTAATCTTGTTTTTAACTTCTAGTAGTTAGGTATTACATGCATCATCAAATCAGCGCCGTGGCGCATTTTGCTGTGCAAGCAACTAAGATATAAAAAACCATTTTTTCACACAGTTTAGTTTAATCTTGTTTTTAACTTCTAGTAGTTTAGATAAGTTTTTATTCTTGTAATTAATATCAATAAATTTTTAAAAAGTTGATTTTGTCCGTAGAAAAGTTAATTTACGTGTTTATTCTCTTTTTGAAATTGGTTTTGTTTTTGCGAAAATCTCTTTTNTAATTATTTAAAAGGAACGCCTGCTGGCCCTATACATTCGCACTGACTGCTACTGTCTTTCTTCCACTCGCACATCTTATATTAGAAGAATTTAATCCGAATAATTTTTGCTGGACTAATAGATTTCGATTTAGTGTCTATTTTGCTTAAGCAAAAGTTTTTTTTGCGAATGTTTTGTAAAAATAACTAAAGAAAAAAATTCGTACATATTTTGTAACCCTATTTTTACCTACCACAATTAATACAAATACCTATTACGATTTTCTTGGTACCCCACCACTTGACACACTATAAAAAGCTTGGAACGGCTTGAATCGTCGAAACTTTGTTTTGACGCCGCGGTGTCGGTACCGCGACTGTGGTTACACGAACGTGGCCTTAAAATGAAGTGTCCTTCGCAGTTTTAATATTCGGTAAGTGTTTTTGTTTGTTTTCTTTTTACATTAATGTAGTTATGTTCATTTTCTCAATATTTTGTACTAAAATAGTTTTGGTCATTTTTTACGTTAGTTGAGACAGGAAGTTTAGTCAGGTAGAGTTGAATCGTGTAGTAGTGTTTTTTAGAATTTTGTTTATTATTTATGTAGAATGCAATGCGACTTGAGATACAGGTTCCTAAAGTTTTCTTAATCGGATGAAATTCCGGTAGGTACGACCCTGGCTTCAGCCTTTTGTCAGCTGAGCTGTTCCCGCCAAACATCCTTTGTCCTAAAAGATACCTCGTGACATGATTTCAACACATCAGCCCATCTACGGCGGGCAGGGGCATTAAGGAGACTCGAGTTTGTCATAAATCTACCTAATTAAACAATGACGTAATCAATACATATTTGGCGAGAACAGCTGACGAAGGGCTGCGGCCAAGGACCGTACCAACTGGATTTACATTCAATTAAGAAAACTTTAGGAGTCTGTATCTTAAATCACATTCGAATTAATTAAAACTACCACACGATTATACTTGGTGAGTACTACTTGATTTGGTAAAGGTCTAGATGATGGCCCCCACTCTCGTCGGGGGTGGGATGGGGGATCGAAAGAGGAGGTCTCTTCCACCACTGTGCCATAAAAAATTCGTGGCGGTCTCACCCCCATAAAAAATTATAGGGGTTCAAAGTTAATAAATATGCCAATTTTTATACATTTCTGGGCATGTAAATATTTATATATTCATTCTTAAACAATATTCAAAGGTAAAACTAATGAAAAATACATAAAAATATTGAGAAAGTTATATAAAACATTATTTAAATAGCTTTATCAATAGGGTAGGTTAGGTTAGGTTAGGTTAGGTTAGGTTATCGGGTTTTGTTCAAGTGACCACCCTCTTTCGATCCCCCACCTCCACCCGCTTGAAAATATTT